ATTATAAGAATTCATAGTTTGATGCTAATCTAACATGTGTCAGTTTTACACCAGGTTACATTACTGACTTTCCAGCATTAATTCAGAAGACCAAAATAAGGATTTTACTGCTTAATCTACATGAGATATACTCACACTTTCAAAGTTTACAGCTATTTCTTTGAATCAGACCAATGTGAAAATCATCTTCTCTGTTTTAGGATATCTTTGTTGTACTCCTTGTTTTTCAACATTAATTATGCTAATCATAATTAATGAGCTTTCAGTGTGATCAGGAGAAGGTCCCTTTTGCAATGTCTGTTCCAGTAAATGATCCAGTGCCAGGAAATGCTGCGTAGCCTCAAGGCCAAGTGGCATAGCCTGCTCATAAAATTCTTCCCCCCCACTCCTCTATGCATGATCTGCATTTTGGGAATGATCTCTGGCCTGTGCAAATCTCCTAAATTGTACACAGGAATCTGTTTGGAAAGTGTCATTTGGTACTGGTCAGGTTAAAGCATGTATTAAGTTCAATAGTAAGATGACCATAATTTCTGTTAACCAGTAATGGCACAGGTTAGTTTATCACATGAGTTCAAACCAACAATTTGGGTTCAAAAAATTCAGTGGAGCTGGAGTCAAAATATCTGAAATAGTCTCTAATCCATAGAAACAAAATTTCACTGAATTCATTCTAATCCATCCACAAGGATGAAACAATTACATGTATTTCCCAGAAAGTTGAGGACTTATTTACTTCTCATCCCCACACTTCTCCCTCTGCACATGACTGTGCAGCTGATTTCCTTTGGCCCCTTCTGAACAACCTTGTATAAAGTAATGCTCTGTCAAAAACTGATTTTAAATAATTTCTTTCTCCATAGGGAATCTTGTACATTAAGTCCCATAGAGGATATTAAACGGTTCTGCAGAGGACCAGCTTCCTTACCAATTGATTTTGGGCTAACCAGGAATTCATTAAGGCCTACATAGTGTCCTTTTTGATAAGGGAAAGGGGCAAAGGAAAAAATGATGAGCAGGGCACAAAGCCCTGCTTCAGAAGTCTGTGTTTACACCTGTCAAATTTCATCCAGGGACTGAGCCTTCCAAATGCATTTTTTGTCTGTATATTTTTCTGACACCGTACAGTTCTGCCTTTTACTGTCTGCAGGATTCAAATCTTTTTTTTCATATTTAAAAAAAAATAATAAATAAATAAAAAAGAATAGTTTCCCTTTTCCTCTCCTCTGCACTGATTTAGCACGTCATGAGGGTTGTTATTTTTTCTCACCTTTGGAGGAAGGCTGAATGACCAGAGATGAAGCAAAAGCCAGTAATTCTTAAAGGCCAATCACCCGCTGGCAATTCCATCATTTATTGCTCTTCCTTATTTCTCTCAGACCTCTCTCTCTTTTGTGCTGCTTCCTCTTACTTTTCCATCTCCCTTCCATTTCACCGGTGGTTTTTTTTTGTTTGTTTGTTTGTTTTTGTTATTATTAAAAGAGGATTCATATAAAATTTCTTTGGCTTCTGTGAAGCACAAAGTAATATTTTATGCAGAATAAAATGAGAAATTATACTGCATAATTGAGCCCTTTAACTACCTACAGGAAATTGAATTTTGTCAAAGTATTTGACCAAACAAATTTTTTTTTCCATTTGCTCATGGAAATGGTGTTGATCTTTCTTCTTGTTTGAACTACAGAAAGGAAATCAGCAGCCTAGAGCTTGACACAGGTTAACAAGACTCAGCAGCCTATCTTTTAGGGACTGCATCATCTGATTTTGTGTACCCAACAAGACTGCAGCCTAGTTGCACTTGCCACAGCAAGTCCAGCATGGATTGCTACTTGTGCAAAGTGAAATAAGGTTTACAGAGAGCTGGTCATCCAGGCAGTGACTGGCCCATTCTGTTAGAGGACAAATGCTAGGAATACAGTGGCCAGTACCACTGCACTACGCTCTGTACCAGGCAACCATTATGCTAGTGTAACAGTGCCATTGTTTAGCTTCAGATTCCTATTTATGCTAAGTTGGAAGGACATGCTTTTGCTTTTTCTGCTTTCCTTGCTCTTGGCCTGTCTCTGTTAGCATTAACTCAGGATTGACATCCTCTGGATTTACATAAATAGGTAAGCCTCTCTCTCTCTTTTTTTCTTCCTCCCCTCAATACTGAAGATTAGGGGATCGAAAGCTTCCATTCCTATAAAATTTTATCCCAAGAAGAGCATAAATGTCACTGGGCAGCAGGCAGAATAGAGCTTTTAGTTTCACGTGGGTGATTACTGTACCAGTTTTATCAATATTTTGCAAGGCTTTTACCAAACAAACTATTTCTACAGGGTCATTCATACTGAGATTAAGCAGTTACAACACATCAAGTCTTTTATGAAAGACCATTTTCAACTTTGTTTAGATCTTTCACAGTCAATCCAAACTCATGTACCTCAGGTTTTACCAGGTTTTTCTATAGATAGATGCACAGGTTCATCAGCTTCCAAGGGGTTTGCATCCTAGATAGGTATTTTGATTCAGTGATACCACCTGCAGTCAGAACTGCTTATGCTCTTCACTAAGATGGCAAAGGAACTTTTTTTTTTTTTTTTTTTAATATTCTGAGCAAATACTGCCCACTGATTAGGTGAAAAATCTTATTGTTTGTCTTACGAACCACTACAACAAGCTCACAAACCTGGGAGCCAGACAAAGCCATTGCTAGCCCAACAATTTACTTTCTGCTTTCTGAGATGAAAAATACAGCTAAATCTCTTCCCATTATGAAGCATACACAAGCAGACAATTACAAAACTTGGTTAGACAATCCATAAAAGTTAGTTTTTATTCTCAAGCAAGACATAATACTGAATGCATATATTAAAAGAAAGCAGACTTTTTTAAATGGAATTCCATTACAAAATTCCTTTGGTCATTTAATATCAGGCAGTTTGTATGTGCTAATGGATATGTAAATTTATTTTAAGATTCATTAGTGATTAATGATCAGTGATGTACACTATTGTCAGTTTAAAATAATTTTATAGGTATTAACATTCTATCAGTTGTACCAAGCAAGTCCTAATACATATTTATCACTTTAAACATTTTCCAAGAACTTTTAAGATGTCAAATAAGAACTTGCAATATAAAAAACATTAGCAAAATATTTAATGGTTTTTAAACCTCCCCATTACCTACTGAAGCTACTTATACTACAAGCTTAAGAATTCAAACTTTGTACATGCTATAATATTCAACACATCCTACATTTTCACAATTTGTTCATTTAATAACACATCGTTGTTAGACACTGAACATGTAAATCTATCATAACTGAACAATACCTCATTTGTTCAACATACCAGGTGAACAAGAAGGGTTATAAATCCATTATCTAAATTATTACCACTTAATCATTAAACTATTTTATTAAGGTACTTTTTTTTCCCCACCCAACAAGATACATTGAAACACTGATACCTAGGTTGCTTATCACTGTACTGGCTTTCAATAAAACACTTGGCATTTTTTCCTGTTATTAAAGAGTAAATTCTGAAACAGGAGAGACTATTAATTATGCATTCATTTTATATCAAAACATGCATTTAACACTTTTTTTTTGGTAGAAAAGCAAAAACTGGCAGACAAATAACTCATAAATGACACTAATGAGCACTGGGAGATGGAGTGGAAAGGTTTTAAATGTGTCCCATTATTTAGCAGGATAATTAAGACCACAGCTCTACTATGGCATTTTATTACAGAAATAGATAAGATCCCATCTTATTGCAAACAGGTGTTGTAATGAAGCAAAGCGAGATCATTTTTATGTGGTTCTTCTGGTCCAAGAAATATTGCAAATTTATTTTATGCCACCTTAATTTAAAAAGTAAGCACACAGATCTTGGCAAACAACACAAACTGTAAAATATGATATGCAAAACCATTTCCAATACTGTTGATTTAAGTTATCTCCAGGGAAAAAAGAAAATATTTTCTCTTACACCTTGTAAATATAGTTTGGTTTCTCACAAATGTTTGGTTTAAGTCTTGTATTATCAAATCATACTCACTATACACAAATGGAATTGCAGTTTAATGTAAATGAATCATCATGCCACATTCTTTACAATAACGTTTCTGATGTTTCAATTCATCATGAATCTTTAATCCCCCATAAATATTGTCACTATGCTTCTGTGTCGTATCTGTTACAATTTTATGCTTTTGTCAATATTTACTGCCAAGTGTTGCAAAATACAGGTAACTCTACATGGTGATCTACAAAAGATCCTTTGCTAAGTTGAGTGATGCAATATTTACAGTGGTGTAATTCTAAGAAGTGTCTATGCTAACATTTGCCATTAATAAGCTTAAAGAGTATATACAAGACTCACAGGGGAGAAAACTGTAATATCTGATTACCTTGACCACAAGCTATGATTCCTTCACATATTGTTGTAGAAGCACATTATAGTGAAACTGAGGGGCTGCTTTTTTTTGAGTGCAGGTCTTTTCATTTTAAGATAGACGCTCAGTTAAAGTATGTGAATACAGGTAAGAAAAATTGCAACTTGTCTTTCAAACACAACACCTGGGAGTAAGCAATCTGTGAAAATGACAGGGTATGCTGGAAACCCTTTTTGCGTTCTTACGGAACAGGCTAAGAAACACTTATACTGGTACTCAAAAAGATACTCTACATAGTGGAACAGCAAGACTAGTGCTTGTAAACCTATGTATCATAAAGGTTAAACTTTCAGAAAGTTAAGCCCCTGACTAATCTGTAAAATTTGGAGAAATATTATATTCTGTGGCACTCTAACAGCTAGAGGCAGATAGTAAGATTTTGACTGTTACAAACTTTCTTCTTTAGATGCGGGGAAAAGAAACCCCAAAAATGGCCCTTTCAAAGGCAAGAATAAATCTCAACAAAAATGAAAGGGTTATACAGCTGGACAAAGCATGAATGGAAGATAGCACTCTAAGAAATACATTACACAGACTTTCACTGGAGCACTGACCTGACAATGGATGTATCACACTGCAAGCTGGGATGTTTCGTCCTCTTGGTTCAGCACTCCGATGATCTCAGCATGAAGACAGCAGACTCTGGCCTCTGCATTGTGGTACTGGGTTTTCAGGTTTTCACTGGAATGACAACATTGGTGAGATTATGCATTTCAGTTTTGAAACCACCTTTTGGATATTTTGTGTAAATGGATCAACTAAGTGCTCCAATTATCTGCAGGCACAACTTTGAAATTTATTTTCTTAAAAGAGCAAAAACTAAATAACCATTGCAGAAAATATTTCTAGGGAGACAGGAGTGCAACAGTATGCTTTTCAAAGTATACAAAGTAGTTTTGTTCTAATTTTGAGCAATTATTTATAGAATTATTTTACAATGCTTACTCACATACTTACCAGAAACTTGATTTCAGATATTTCCTGAAATATCTGAATATCATTTTTTCCTAGAATCATACAGAAATATAAACAATGTCATTTGATTCAAGTTCTGTGAAGAGAAAGGAACTGGTACCTTGATGGTGTCATCAATTTTACAAATCATTGAGAAAGCATTACCAGTTTATATGTACATATGTTACAAGTTTTCACTTCCACCACTTTATTCTCAAGGGTCAATAACTATTGATGAACAAAGTGAGAAAAATCGCATAGAGTAGCAATATCAGCTAATAACTATAGAAATGGCTGGATATCATCAAACCCCAGAAAGCTTTCTGAACTTTGGAAACCCAAATTCAGAGGCTCAAGATAGTTTCCTCTTTTTTCTATTTCACTTTATTCATTGGAGTTTGAGATTCGTTACACTAAAAATCTAAGGAAGTTTGGTGGTGAGATGAAAAAAGGAGCGAGATACAGAACGAAAGAGCTGTGGAAATTGGAATTTAAAGCATAACTAATGTCATTTGGCTGATTTTGCTTCAAACCTACTGGAAAGAAAAAAGAGTAAAGTTCTGCAATATGTAAGAAACAGCTTCTTGAAATGGTCTTGATTTTCTACCTACCTGTTAAATATTTGAAAGAGCTTGAAATTAATCATCTAAGGTGATTAAAGAAAAAATTATGATGCATGATAACCTGCAACTTCTTATACGTATAATTAAGTGTATCTGTAGCTCCAATACAAAGGAGGCAGAGAGATGGGGGAAAATACTCCAGCGGATCTACCACATCACATGCTTGACCTTTCATCTTGCATTTTTAATGAACATTATGGTATCATATTTGGCCACTTTCTCTTCTCCTCTCTATGAACTTTTGTCTCCGACAGTCAATTTAGGTGTATTAATTTAAGGAAAAATTTCCAGTGGTTTGAGTATTTCATATTTTGAATTTTAGCATAGTAAGCGATGTTGGTCTAGGAAAAACTGTAGCAGAAGGTAAGAAGGAATGTTCCAGGTGCTGGAGCAGAGCTTCCACCACAGCCCATGGAACAGCCCATGGAGAGACTATGGGAACCATGCATTTTCCTGCAGCCTGTGGAGTTTGGCTTGCCCACAATGGGAATTGGTAAGTAATCACCCTATCTTAAACTTGACCTATGAGCTTTTATTTTCATTTTCTCCCACTGTCCTGATGAGGAGGGGTACAGAGAGCAACTTGGTCAGCTGCCCCAGGTCAAACCACCATACCTTTCTTTTCCACCTCCTGACTGCCCTGATGAACTGTTTCATCTCCTTGATAGTTTTTTTTTGTTTTTGTTTTTGTTTTTTTTTTAAGTCACACCGTTTTTCACTCAATAGTTCTGTATGAGCTTGTTTTCAGCTCAGTGCTTGCAGCTCCTGACAGTGTACGGACAGTGAGAGCTAAGACAAATACCAGGCTCAAAGGCTTTAATTCTGTTTTGTCATTCATTAAATAAAAATAAACTTCTCATGTTTAAGTTATACAAAAACAATTATTTTAAACACATAGCTTCTGCTATACACAGTGTTGCTTTGAGAATATAAGTTACTCTTTGGGTGAGCTTTAGAGAATGTTGCACACTTAACTCTTACCATACTATAAATTTGGAATGCTGTGCAATTTAAAAGTTTGAAATAATAACAACTTTGTTTGTTTGCAGTTACTGTTTTGCTTCACACTTTATTGCACAGTCTTCACTCTGTATCCATTAAACCTGTTACAAGCCATAGAGGAAAATATCAAATTTTGTCTGTGGGGAATAAAATAGTCAAAAACTTTATATTTATTAAATTACTTCATATTCTGTGTGGTCATTCATTCTCAAAATAATAGCAGTAATGACTGTATACTAATAAACATGTACTGTATACTAATAAACATGTCTTGAGTTAGAAGAGTATTCAAATTATCCAGCTTTGATAGTACAAAAAAACTTGCTGGAATGTATTAACCATTTAAAGCTTCAAAACAATACAGAATTGACTTGTGATTTCTGAGATCCCTCCTTTTTTCTGAAGTGCACTGAATTTAAAATAAAAGCGTACTAATTTCCCAACCTTTCTATAGGGAACAGAGAACATTAGGGTTCTGAATTAGCCAAATATATATAAATTACTGGGAATGAGTTTCTAACATAAATTGTACCTAATTTAATTTACAAAGCATTTAACCCTCAATTTCTTATTGATAGTTTATATTATATAAATTTTTCTATGATAATGGCAAAGGACACTAAGCAGCAATTGATGTCGTGACACGTGTAACCCAAAATACTGAAGTGTTTAACAAGGTATTGCAAATATAAACATACACATTACATGCAAGGGGCACAAGGATAAAAACAATCATGATTCAGTTATAATGCAGTATATATTATAAGCTGTTGTTGTTATTATCATTATTATTATAAAATTACATACCACAGAATCTCCAGGAAATCAAACAGCCCCAAATGACTCCCACCAGCTGCTCACAGTTACTTAATATTAAGGCCCTATCCATTAGCAGTCTACTCTCAGCTGTGGCTCATTTTAAACTTATTTTTCTCCACATACTCCTTCCATATCAATGACATTATTCCAGCTGATTTATGCACTGGGGAGACACACTTCATCAGGTTAGATTAATTCACTAACTCCTTGGTACTATTATAGGCAGATTCTGGCTGTGTGCATGTCAGGTAGCTAGCTAGCTAGCTAAGGTTAGCATCGGACATGACAAAGATACTTTTTTTTTTTTTTTTTTTTTTGTAGTTAAGCATACATTTCATTCAATGGTCAGAAGTGAAGAAAAAGCATATAGACCCAATTATAAAACCCTGGGTCTTGGACTTGCATAGTCAAAACAGATTACTTTTATTGTAAACTAATGAGAATTGAAAGTTCTAGACTTATATGGAGGAAGGGATAAATAAAGGAGAAGTAAGTTCTCACGCTGCCACTGAAATCTACAACTACAATGAAGTTACACAATTTTCAGGAGTCTGTGGGTTTGAAAGTTTGTTGTATTGCATTAACCTGCTGTAGCAGATCAGTAACGTGATATGGTGTAAACCTGATATTCACAGCTATCAATAATGCATTTTCAGACTGCAACGCTTTATAAAAACAGAATTATTCTTTCTCAAAAGAAAACTAATTTTAATATTGAATCCTCAATAAGGTAATAAAAAGTTGTAAAAAGACTTTTAAAGACATTAGCATTAATGTGTGATCACCATATCTTCTCCAAGTTTTATTTGTAGATGATTTCAGTCTTTTTATAAAGTCTCTTAGATCTCTTTCAAGCTTCTTAATGAAAACCAAACAATAAGAACAGGTTACCACTAATATAAATATCTGATTCAATAACTAGGTTGGTCAAAACATATTAAGGTGCAATCTCTAAAGGCATTTCAGAAATTCTCCTATTGCAGTGGAAATGTCCTTTCAGCAGGACAAGAGATGGGGCATTTAATTTTATGTTTAATATTAGAATCTTTTTATTTTGTGTTTAATGTTAGAAGACAACACATGATCAGTTTCCACTTTATAAATGAGTGAGATCTCATAATTCCATTTAATACTCAAGTTAGTAGTTTTCTTCATCCCGATTTGGCTTTACTTTTTTCTGCAGTTATCATAATTCTTGATGTACAAAAATGGCAAATAGTATGTTCTTTAATACCCTATTACAGCTGTTCCTGGTTTTATTGGTAAGGTATAGTGAATGTTACTGGTGTGTTAAAAATGTTAGTGATAGATCCAGTAGGAATATACTTAAACATCAAATATGAGCAAGAAAGTAGCAAACTTTGCAATAGTTACTAGTCAGACCATAATCTTTTACTCCTGTGTGTAGATCACACAGCACCTCAGGAAAATAGTATGTTATTTCATTACAGATTTTATTATATTTCACAGAAACCATGGCTCAAAATAAAGCTAATAATCAGAATAGGATTGATCTAGATGATGAGGAACTGAGAAAGAACCACTGTAACTTGAGTGAATTTAGACACAACTAGAAGCAACTGAAGAATGCTTAAGAAGAAAGCATCACTACAATTATTTTTAAACATTATGCATTTTTTTTCCATCATTTGAGTAAGACGGAGTGTTTAGAAGATGGAGTTTTCTATGACCTCCTACTGGGAATAGTCTCATGCAAAGCTGCCTAGTGCTTTATGAAGTATATAAATAGGGTGACAAGTTACAGCTAAATTTAAAAGAGGAGATGTCAACTTCAGCATAATGCTTTAGATCTCATTACTTACAAGATTTTTATGTGATACATCTACAGCTAAGATCAATGGAAATTGAAAGTTGCCTCATTATAGAAGAGAAATTGCTGTTGGTATATCATTTTTCATTAAAATCTCCCTAAACTGGAGTGTGTATCCTTCCCAACTGTTTTGCCAGAAAATTTATGACACTCCATTTGAGCTATGATAATTGTTATTTTTTGTACATAAGGACTTGTGTTTAAAATTAAAAAAAAAAAGTTAACACGTTTCTATAGCACTCTTCATTGCTCTATTCAGTATTTAATAGTTATAATTACTCAAAAAAAAAAAAAAAAAAAAGACAATTGGAGTTTATAGTTAAAATTGCAGATGATTTGACCTGAAGGCTTACATGAAGATTGTCCACATATGATAAAGAGTACAAGAAAGTTACATTATACATAGATTTTTAACAGACAAGCCTGTGTAAACATAATTTCTCCAGTACTCAAGTCTGAAGTGCTGATCAGTTTTCCCATTTCTAACAAACTGATAGATGTTGGCACCAGGTCAGCTTATATTTTTATACGTGCTAAAGAACAAGACTATAAGTGTGCCTGGAGCACTGCATACAAATACATTTATAAATAAAAAAAAATCTGTAAGTATAAAACGTTTACCAGTTTTTACTGCTTGACAGCACAAGATTCTTTTCAGCATTTGCTAAATGAATTTTCTCACCTTCTCTGTTCCTAAAATAAACTGCTCTTTACACCTTACTACACACTCTTCACTTTTCTTAAATAGTTTCACACAGTGCTGCCTATGTTTGCTGTCTTTGTCTGCTGGCGTGTAAGTCAAGTTCTTTTCTCACTGTGTCCAGTCATTAAGATGACTGCTACATCATCTGATAAAACCCTACTTTTCATTATGGGTATTTCTTCAAGTAGGATGCATCACTAACCTTTGTAGTTTGTAATCTCCCATTTAATTGTCCTTGTTTCCAAGATTTCTTGCACTGGAACTCTGAACCTACCTAATTTCCATGTTTATATTACCATAAATGCCTAACAGCTCTAACCTGCTCGCCTTGCAGTCTGTCTATATTTACTTTTATCTGTGGTATCTCATTAACAGCACAGACCACAAAAGCTCAGTGATAAGGAGATGATTCATAGAAAGCAGCTATAACAATGGGACTTTGTGTTTGATTAACACAGATCTTGTGTTTGATCAACACAGAAGATGTCTTCAAGATAAAGTAATATTTACCCGTAAACTCCTGATCCCTCAAGTTGCTTCAGGATGACTGAACTAAACCTTTATGCCAATTTGTTTAGATTACTCTGTATTATGAATCTGATGATTGCAGATACAAAGTTTGATGCTGGAAAAAAAGAAGTAATGAGACATTACAGTACTGCCAACTTGCTGGGAAGAAATTGGTAAGTACTAAAAAAAATTTGCATACCACACTATTTATCAAATTATCAACATTAGGACAAAAACTGAAATCAAGTCCAACTCATTTTTTGCTGTTGCCTTCTTTGTTACAAGTACAAGATCTTCACAACTGGTTTACAGATAGCTACTAGATGTATTGGATCATTATCTCTACAATTCCCTTATAATATTCAGCTATTTTTATGTGATACAGAGAGTGACTTTTAACCAGGTCTCTAGCGATTAAGTATTAGATAGATATGTGTAATATCCTCGGCTTGTGTGAAGTTTTAGATAAAAAAAAAGAAATAATAATAAAAAGTAATAAATAAATCAGGAAGTAAGAAAAGACGACAAAGAAGTGAAAACTTTCTAAGCTAAAATTTGCTGCCAAAGACAATTAAAAATATGAAAGGTAACTAGACTCTTATCAGGATTTAATCTATGGTTTTGTCCCATTTCTAGATCAGCACTGTGAAAAAGGACATTTAAACTATCCTATTTAAAAACCTCTTTCTCATAAATAACTGTCTATAATTAGGTCAAACAATATCTATAACTTATTTGTTTATCCAGAAAAAGATCAGAAATCTTCATATTTATTTTTTTTCAGGCTTTATCATTATATGTAGGAAATCATTTTATCTTTAAATTTCAAATTCCTGCTCAAAATATTAGCCTGATATTCAATGGGAATAGTTTACTCACATCGGAACAACATAATGTTGAAGCCAAACTCAAAATTTCAAACTGTTTCTGAGTTTTTATATTCACCTTATTAAATCTCACTTTTAGACTTCAATTTCAATAAATCTTTTTTTTTTTTTTTTTTTTTTTTTTTTTTTAATAATTAAAAGCAGTAGCTTTAATGGAAACTAATTTGAATTTCTAAAAATAACTGTTTCCATTAGATGACTATCTATCAATCAATCCCTTTGAGATAAGAGCCCTACTTTGTCCTGATAGCATTACTGGATTTATGGTATCCTCAGCTGAATTAGTTTGTTTCCTGCAAAAATGGACATCCTTAAAAAGACACTGACCAATTCTAGAAAAACCTTTAAACCAGAATTTTCATCATATTTGTGTGTTCAAAACATACCACGTTCGAATAGTAGTTCTTACTTGCACTGCATTCTATTCATAAACATTTTAAATGAAGTCATGATAACCTTGACAGAATCATAGAATGGTTTGGGTTGAAAGGGACCCTTAAGGTTCATCTAGTTCCAACCATCCTGCCACAGAGTGTTGAATGGTCTGTCACAAATTATTAACATTTATTTTAGCATTTTCTATCTGCTTTGAAACATCACAATATAATTTCTAGAGAAAAAAAGGATCCTTAATAGCTAAATTTTGCATATAATATTTAAATGAAAACTGGACTCTGTACCTACTGTAGTAGTTTATTTAATTTGCCTTTCCTGTTACATATCCTTGTTGAAGATAAGAAAGTTGCATTCATTTTACTTAGACAGCAGTTATTAATTTCCACAAAAGTACCTACAGGTCACAGCTGACCATTCTATGACCAATCTGATGATGAGAGCACCAAAAAAATTTGATAAGCCATCCTCAAAAATAACTTAATCCAGCATAAAAGTCTTTCAGGATGTATGGCATGTAATAGAGAGCCACCTTCTTTTGTTTAGAGAACTTAATCAGAACAACTGAAACATTCTTTAATTCAACTTCTGGACATGATTTTGATGACTCTAAATAAACGTTGATTGATTTTTCTAAGAAGTTAAAAAAAAAATGTTCACATAACTGCAATAATCAGACAGAAATAAAACAAAATTTAAATCAATACTGGCTTCTCAATATTTGCCAAAGTTTCATAGTACTGGAGTCACTCCACTCCATCCTTTTATAAGTGTATAGTAACTCTGTGTTAGTATAGACAAGATTCTTATGTTTCAAATAAACAATATTTATTCTAAACAACATCAGCAACCACACATTATTAAAGTGTTCCAAAATTAAACTGAATTAATTTTCTCAAAGCATCTTTTCCAAACAAAATATGGTTAAAATGAATATTTGGCTCTGGGCTTTGTATTTGGAAGACTGCCAGATTTACTAAAAATGATTGCAGAATTTTCCATTTCATTTCCTTACCTCTAAACAGTATTTAAGGCCAGCTTCAAAATAAGGCACGAGATTTTGAGGGAAAGTAATTTACTTATATCTTTTAATTATGTTAAATTAAGGGCATACCTATTATTTAGCATTTTCAAATAGTCTTTAGGGTCATTAAATAGCTTAATTACAAGACGGGTTTGCTAAGGGCATACTTGACTGAGAACAGACATGTCTGATGTGGGGAAAAAAAAAAAAAAGGTTGTGACTTTGTGACATGTAATAATTCAAATGGAATAAAACCCAGAATAACACATCCCAAGTGAAAGCAACTCTTGGAGCCTGGCTACTAACTAGGTGCCACAAAAGTACAAAAACACAAGGGGCCATCCTCAAGATCCCACACTAAGTGTCCCACAATCTCTGGAAAGTCTGACTGGATCAAGCCTCCAATGTATAGTGTTTAATATTGGTAAAGAAAGAATATCTCTTCCTGATGAGAAATTTTCATCTGATTTGGACCAAATTGTCTCTTGTTACTCAGAGGTCAAATGCCTCATTTACATGTATATACCTAATTTCTCTCTTGATCCTGAAAAACTTACAATATGCCTTTCCCCACACACTACTGCTCTGCAGCTCTTCTGTTTTCTACATGTGGATCAAATTAGATGATCCCGAAATATCAGTCCAGAACTCTACATAGATTAAAAGCCAAACAAAGGCCATAAATAATGCATGTAATGTTAAGTGCTATCTATCCTGTTCTTGGATGTATGTATCTTGTAAAATCTATTTCTGCATCTTGCATACAAATATACATTAATCAGTTTTACAGGATAAATTGGGATGTATTCTTGATAGCATCTGTAGAAGCATTGTTGAACTCATACTTGTTATAGTGAGATTTAAGGAAAATAATAAAAAAAAATCTAGTCCCTTGCAATTACATTTATTATTATCACTTCTGTGATGTGATAACTGACACTGAGGATTGAACAGCTTATGGGCTACAAAGGGCTACAAGGATGGTGAAGGGCATAGAGGGCAAGATGGATGAGGAGCTGCTGAGGACCTTTGGCTTGTTCAGCCCAGAGCAGGCTGAGGGGAGGTGTCACGGCAGCCTGCAGATTCCTCATGAAGGGATTGGAGGGGCAGGCGCTAAGCTCTGCTCTCTGGGGATAACAACAGGACCCAAGGGACAGGCATGGAGCTGGGACAGGAGAGGGTCAGGCTGGATGTTAAAAAAAGATTATTCACTGGTGGTCTGGTGCTGGAACAGGCTCCCCAGGGCAGTGGGCACAGCACCAAGCTGCTGGAGTTCAAGAAGCATTGGGACAACACTCTCAGACATCGGGTCTGATTTTTAGGATGGCCCTGTATGGAGCCAGGAGCTGGACTTGATAATCTTTGACCCCTTCCAACTCAGGATATTCTATGACTCTATATCTAGTATTATTTCACATAATATGCAATATTTTAGTAACAGTAATACCTAATTTACTCACTTGAGGTAATACATAATTCTGGTTCTATAATGATCAAGTAATATAAAATGTTAAGTATTACAGCTTGGAAAATTTTAGTGTAACAGTAATACTAGCTATTACTGTCATATACAGAATAAACTGTTTCATTTAGACTCTGTGTTGCCTGTGGAAAAAATGTCAGCTTTTGTTTTAAAGGAAAAAGCATCATAAATAATTTGATACCTGATGCTACAGTTGACATTTGTGAAAGGACAGAGAATCCAAAACTTTTATTTCTAAAGCAAACAGGTTTACTCAAAGAGTAGAACTTCTGGGTGGTGCTTACCTTAATTCTTATCTGTTGGTAGAACTGTCTTCTCACTTTCTCTCACTGTCTTTTCCTAAAGACACAATCAATGAAAAATGGCAAAGAAAGTGAAGGGAAATTTGTCTTCATTTTATGTGCACTGTATACTGGTGGCTTGTTGAGACTCTAAAAGATACTGTATAGCAGCACTCAACTTTCAACAACCTCCAGAGGGCTTCACTGACTGTGTTCTACTCGTTAAATTCTCATGCATTTGTAAAATACCTAATCTACAGGTTAGCTCTGCTGGGTATTTTCTCAAGGAAGTGCATTGCATTTGAAGACAACAAATTATGAGACACAAAAGTCAGGAAAAGTACAAAACACATCCTTAATAAAAGTAGTTTACATGCCACTTGATGGGCTTCAGTTGGCTGAGGCTAAGGAAGGTCTTTCTTAATTTAGCTTGTATGAGATCAATTTAGTTGACAGCATTTGAGTGTGATTTCAGAGTAATGCTAAAAGGGAAATGGCAGGTTGTCTGCTTTAAGCACACAAAGTTACTCACAGAAAGTAAGAGACTAAGTTTTATATGTCTAGATACTTTCCCTTCTCTGGATTTTCCAACAACCCCCCCTCCCTGCTTCCCATCTTTTTAAATTTCTTTTGCAAGTATCCAGGCTGACCCAGTAGTCAGCCTCATATACAGAGCTGAGACAAACAGCCATACTAAAAATCAGAACAGAAGATCTTCCCAGATTAGCAGGATACTGCAAAGGGTCATTTCTTCCTCTACAATAAGTCATTCACCTGCAGGGAAAATTTCCTCTTATAATCAAAACAGTTGACTGAAAAGCACTAGTAAATATGCACGGCCAACATCTCTGATGTACTGTCCCTGTCCTTTTACATGGTTAACAGTAAGAACTCCATATTTTAACAAAACAGGAATGAGACCCTTTTCAAGGAGATAATTAACTGCCTTGTATTATTTTTGAGTGATCATTAGAGACCTTTAATATCCTCAAGAACAAAAATGCAATAGATTATCTCTAAGGAAAAACCATACTGTTCCCAAATACAGTTTGTAGCTGTAAAATACCTAACCCACTATTTTTTTTTTTCAACAATTAGAAGGTGG